AAATGTTTATTGTGTCTTATCGAAAATGTCACAATGATTTGGAAGTCACAGTTGTTTTTAAAAATCACAATTTTTCATGAAAGTCACAACTTTTCATGAAAGGGGAAGGCTAGTTTTGAAAATAAATAAATTAAAAGGGAATTCTGGTTTGTGGTGACGCCACATAGAGTATATGATAATAAATATTATAGGAAACCAAAGATATTGAAAAATAGAGTATAATAAAGAAGTAAATGAAATTAGAAAATAAAAAAAAATTAGTGAACTAAAGAAGCGGATTAACATTCTCTATTGACAAAAATATATAAATAATTGACATGTGTTATGTACACAAGGATTTGAATCATCCTATCTCTCAAATTTAATTTGAGAACGGACATTCTTAGCAAGTTATTTATGTGGTCTCTTTTTTTTATTCAAGTGCATTTTAAAATTTGTACAAAATTTAAATTTTGAGCCTTATTATACGATGAAGTATTTCAATCATGTCAAGACTAATTAAACTTCTTAGAAACTTCTTATCATGGGCAAGACCAATGATTTATCTTTTATTGGGGTTCATGATTATCCTAATAAAGACCCCTTGTGCTTTTTATGAACCCCTCCCCAAGAGAAATCAATATTACTTTGTTGTCAAGAATTTTCTTCAACTAAAATTTAACCTTTTATTGAATCATTTAAGATTGATGTATACATATTTGATGGTCGTAAAGTATTTAGTAAAATTCTCACACTGGAAACAAAAATTGATAAACATCCCAGTAAAATTGTTGGATTATTATACATATATAGCCACAGGTTGTGAGGTTTTAAAACCTTTTTCCAACAAAAAAAAAATGAATATTTCATTTAATTTCTAACTATTTAGAGACAATAGAGACTGTATAATTTAATGGGATAAGGGTCTAAAAAATACCCCAACTTTGGTCGGATTTGTTGTTGCGATACTAAACTTTCATAAGGACCTATTACCTCCCTAGACTATTTAATACCGTATTTTTTACCCCCTGAACTATTTAATAGTGTATTTTAAAGGTATATATATGCCCACGTAGACACATTACTATTTATAATTTTATATTATTTTTTATGTTCACGTGGGAAAATATATATGTTTAAAATACGGTATTAAATAGTCTAGGGAAGTAATAGGTCCTCATGAAAGTTTAGTATCGCAACAGCAAATCTGATCAAAATTGGGGTATTTTTCAGACTCTTATCCCTAATTTAATTAACGAAGCTTCCTATATATGAAAGTAATTCGAAATATATTAATTAATTCTAGCAGAAAAATTAGGAATTATTCCACTAAAAATTGTATTGCACTCCTAAGTTTCATTTTGAACTTCTTCCATTAAACCTTATTTTACTCCACATGTTAAATTTAGATAACAACAACATAATAATGTAATTCCACAAATGGGATCTAGGGAGGATGGTGTATAAGTCCTACTTTGTGAAGGCAAAGAGACAGTTTAATTTAGATACTACTTAATTAAATTTAATTACTAACAATTTATCTTTTTGATTATATCATTTAGACTTCCGTTTAACTTATTTCATGTGACGAATATAAAGTACACCTTTAGAATTTAAACATGAAAACTCATAAGCTATTGAAAAGGTGTATCATCATTCTCTAGACCAAGATACGAATTTCGTCAACTAACTATTATTTCGTCAATATATGTTGTCATCATCCAATTTATTACGCATATTAACCCACAAAAGAATATTAGTAATTTTTAGTAAATTAAAACATATAAACAATACATAAAACTAATAATAATTATACCAAATTAAGAGTCTGGATATTTAATGGACTAGAAAATTTATTTTATTAAGTCAGTTAAATACTTATCTTTATTTGCATTCGTTCAACACAAACAAAATGTACTAGCATACGAAGTCAAAAATTTATCATCCCATAATCAAGATATATATTTAGCTTTCTGTTGCGATCATTCCAATGACTTGTCCAAAATCATCTTAGATTGTGAACACTCTTTATTATTTATATGAACTGGGTGTAATTTTTCGTGTATAAATCAAACTCTATATACTAAATCATTAATTATAAACATGAAGAATACATAAAAGAAAAAAAACATTATCGATTTAAATATATATAATAATTATTATATATTTAATATTGTATCTAAGCACATCGCTAATAGTATATATCATAATAAGGAGCTCTTTGACATTTGTGCATGGAGCATTTCATTGGCTTGGCTTATCACGAAGCTAATTGATGATTTCATTTAGTATTTCAAATGAGGTATTTATAGAAAGGTACCATTGCCGAAGCAAATGGCATCAATATGTAATAAGTTTGATGGTTCATTATTAGGAAAAGTATTTACAATATAAAATACAAGAATTTATTAAGCCAAACTTAAATACAGGTTTTCTAATTATGAAGTGTTTACTCTATTGCTTAAATGCTGAAACTTTTATCGAAAGGATCATTTATATTATGGCTTCTGTTTGATATCATTTGGGACGAATTCGTTTTAACATGAAGTTAGATCTATCCAAAGTTATTAATCTAGTATTTTCCTTTTACCTATGATCAACACATATTTTTTTCAAAAATTATGTTTCTACCCTTTTTCCTTATTTAAAAAAATTTGCGTGTAAAATTCTTGGTGTCATTATTTTCTAATTATTTTAATTGTATTTTTCCAACAAATTGGTATTAGAGTTTCGATTGCAATATCTATATTTTTTGGAAATGACGAAAGTCAACACAAGTAGAATGGTTACTTTGATGACGTTAATTAGAGTTTTAGGCTAAAATCATCCCTCAAGTGTAACCCAAACTTAGTGTACATCCTTATAGTATAATTGTGAACAAAAAACATCCTTCAACTATCCCAACACTTACATAAACATCCTTTCTGTTAACTAGTGTTAAAAAACTAACATAAACAAATACATGTGCCAAGCACATGACTTCCCCCAAATCTCCATATATTGTACGATATTTTTATTGATATTTCTATTGTTTTACCGGTCTCTTCATGTTATTTTTCTTATGTTTTGCCAAAATGTGTGTTGTTTACTAGTGGTTTACCAAATTTTCTATTGTACTGCAATTTGTTTTTGCTGTTTTATTCTAGTGTGGTGTTGTTTTGCTGATTTTCTTGAGGTTTATATATTGGTTTATCAAAAAATAATTGTTGTTTTTCTATTGTGTTGTTGTTTTTTGCTAGTTTGGTATTGTTTTGCTGATTTTTTGGCTGCTTTTGTACTGATTTGTCAGTTTTTAAATCATTTTATCAGTTTTTTCGATTTATTTAGTTGCCTTGGTGTTTTCTTGTGTGTATTTTTTTGTGTAAGTTTTGGTCCTATTTTTCAGATGAAATATTAATTTTTTTGCTGGGTTTAAGTGTTAAAATGCTCAAGGTGGAAAAATGAAGAAAAAATAAATGTTTTTAGGTAACTCAAAGTACTTTCATTGCGCTTGGCAAACATACAAGATACATTTGCAAAAAATTTAATACAACATAAAACAACTATTTTTACTACAATTTCAAATTCTCATCTTCTTTCTTTTCAAGGTGAGATCAATCCTCCCTCTTGTAGGCTTACTTATTTTTCAGACGCAATGTAGTTCTATGGACGTTGTTTATCATTTCTCAACTAGGCGCATTATGCTAGTCTCGCTTCCTTTTTGCTTGCATAAGAGAATGAATTTGTATGACTCCAAGTCATTAATTCTAAGAGTTGGTAATATAGATGCCCTCCCTGGAAGTGGGTTGTGTCATTTTCTTGGTGTAGAAAAGCATGGAGTCATTTCTGTGTAACTAGGATTAATAGTAAAATTGTAAATGTCAACAATGTCGCACATGAAAAGTGCTTATTCTATTGATTTCATCCAGTTTCTTTGGTACCTCTGCATAATACAGTACCTAGGAACAAAAATTCTGAATTTTCTTTATCATTGCATTGAAGACTCTATGGGTGACACTTTTAATTATAAGCACCCTATCAACTGTTGAGAAATCATGTCTCTAGTGGCACCTCGCACAACTAAGCAAAATTCTCTCTTCAGGCAAACATGTTTGGTGTATTTCTTATTAACATGAGCCTTATTGTCTCATATAAATGCCTTTTGACTGCTAATTTCTTCTCCAAATTGCGTCTCAAGAATTTCCAACCACTGCGCATCTTTTAAATTATCGAGTGCTATTAGCTTCTTCCGAAAATATGAGTGCAATGATCAGTTATATGAGCAGTTAATTCCAACCCTCGGTTAGGGACGCAATATTGCTTAAGGATAGACTGAAAGAGGGGCAATTGGAGCAGATTAATTTTCTGCATAAAAGCATGAAAGAAAGTCCCAACTATGATGTATGCTATTGTTTATGAAGATGAAGAAATTAATCTATAGCATATGGAGATTTGGGGGGAGTCATGTGCATAGCACATGTATTTATTTCTGTTAGTTTTTTAACAGTAGTTAACAAAAGGATGTTTAGCCATGTTTTGGGATAGTTGAAGGATGTTTTTTGTTCATAATTATACTATAAGGATGTACTCTAAGTTTAGGCTATACTTGAGGGATGACTTTAGCCTAAAACTCACGTTAATTATGTCATTTGAAAGGGGGGACGAAAGATATGTTCTATGTCAAGAATTTTTATCAATCACTCGTTACCACTATAAAACCTAATAATAAAACAGATGAAGAGTGGTCTGTTGCACAGACAGATTTATGAATTTATTAGGTAGTGGATTGACGATAATGTGGTGAACCATATTTCTAGAGAGACACATCCTCGGACCCTATGGGAGCATATTAAAAGTTTGTATGCTTGGAATAGTGGAAACAACAAAATGTTCTTGATAAAGCAGATGTTCAACTTAAAATATCATGATGGGTCTAACAAATCATTTGAATAATTTTTCGGGTGATCATGAACTAGTTATTTACTATAGGCATTAAATTTGATGAAAAAAATTCAAGGCTTGCTTCTACTTGGTTCCCTACCGGCCTCTTAGAGAAACATTTAGAACTTTATTATCAAATTCATTACCAGATTTGCATCAAAAATGGTACAAGATCTTCGATGGTGACAGTGGCTAGACAATTTTCATTTTCATCTTCTTTTTTCCTTTTTGTCTTTATTCTCCTTCTTCAACTTCCGACAAAACTTCTTTGTGCATCCTTTCATGTCATAATGATAGAACTCAATATCATTAAGTCTGCCTTTAGATTTGCTTCTATTATGTTCACTATTATGAAAATCACGCTTCTTGCTTCTCCCTCTCGGGACAGTCATCAGGGCATCCGACAAAGAGGAACCTTGAGATTTTCTTCCCATCTCATCGTTCAGAACGTTGCTCTTCACGAAATATATAGAGATCACACCATCAAAAGTAGAATTTGACAATGAAGTTCTAAATGTTTCCTCTGAGTCCGATAGAGAACCAAGTAGAACCAAACCTTGAATTTATTCATCAAATTTAATGTCCATAGTAAATAACTGGTTCATGATCCCCTAAAAGCTATTCAGATGATCTATCATTAGAGAATCATCATGGTATTTTAAGCTTAACATTTGCTTTATCAAGAACAGTTTATTGCTTCTAGACTTCCGAGAATCCAAACTTTCAAGATGCACATATAGAGTCAGAGCATGTGTCTCTCTAGAAACATGATTCACCACATTATCATCAATCCACTGCCTAATAAATCTACAAACCTTTATGTGCAACAGATTTCACTCTTCATCTATTTTATTATCAGGATTTTAGTGGTACACACTAATAAAAAATCTTAACATAGAGCAGATCTTTCATTTTCCCCTTTCAAATGGCATAATTAACGTCATTCAAAGTAATCATTATACTTGTGTTGACTTCCATCGTTCCCCAAAAAATAGAGATGTTGCAAATCAAAACTTTAATACCAATTTGTTGAAAACACGCAGAATAACACAAAAATATTCACAGTCAAAATAATGGGAATAAAATGAAAAAATAATGACACCAAAAACTTTACGTGGAAATCCTTTTAAATAAGGAAAAAACCACGGATCAAGAAGAGCAACTAATATCACTATAGCAAGAAATTTTACACGGTAGTCAAGAGTACAGTACTCAAAGTGACTACAACACGCTAAAAAGATATAACCCTCTTTTGATTTCTCACCTTACTAAAATATCACTCACACTATTTTTCCTTCAAAGATAATTTTCTTGTATAGTCTATGGTATACTTCACTTTGCTCTCTAATAGTTTTCTCTCTATTTTAGGTGAGTTCACAAATAAGCAAAAAAATTCAATTTATACGAAAAGAAAAGCATGCATGTGTCTTTGTTGACATAGGCAAATGTAGCAACTTCAAAATGTGAAGATATCTTTTGGCCGGTTGTCAATTTCAACAAAGGTGTGAGTAAATCTTTTGTCCATGCTATTGATCCCTATCAACATATGCTAGGACTCGGGTACTACGCATGCTCCTTTAATGAAAGATCGCAGGTGTGGCTCCTTCCTATAGTCTCTACTGCCAACTCGTTTCACTCCAGTTTACCATGGCAACTACAGCAAGCTGACTAGCTAGACTATACAAGCATTGCAGATGCTCAATATTACCACAACTTGGACCATTCTGGAGCAAATCCATTTATTTCTCTGAAATTTTAGCATCTTGAAATTACCTCGGGAAGATGCTTGTAAATGAGAACATAAGTCTAGGGAGAGTTATGGATTTCTGGCTCTCTAATGTCATTTCATTCAGTAGTTTTACATCTTATACAACAAATGATAATGGATGTTTTTCACTAATGCTTACACAGATAATCGAAAGGTTGGTATTGTCTTCAATATGCTGTTAAGTATGTTTACAGATATATCATGCAGAATTATTCATAAGGATTCAAAAACGGGAATGAAATCACCATATTTTGGCTAAATGAGAGAGCACATACACATCTTTCACCTCCTAGTAATAACAGTACATATGTTGATGCTTAATTAGTTCATGAAGCCAATAGTTTCTTGTTCGTTCCAAAACCTGGCAAAGCTAGTACATGGACGTCATACAGGAAGATACGGTAACGGTTCTAGGAAGAACAAAATCTCGAAAACAATAATATCATTGCAAAGGATAGCTATCCAAAAGTTGAAATGATGTGAGTTGTAATACCTTGAATTGCTTGTGCTTTACTTTTTTCCCCTAACATTTGACACCAAATCTTTCAAGAACTTAGCTGATTTCGTAATTGGTGAATTCACGGCCATCAAGTTATACAAAACATTCTCAACTTCAACAATTGATGGCCCTGTTTTAAACCTTGAAACCACTTTCAACTCTCCATCTTCTTCGACGAACACATACCATTTCTCACCACTCAAAACACCATCTTTAACACATTTAAACATCACCCCTTTTCTATTACTCAATATCCCTCTAACTTCCAATCCCATAAATGAATACACAACCTCAAATGAACCAACAAATCCACTCATCTCACCAAAACTACTCTCTTCATCAAAACCCCATGTAGGATTAAAAATCACCACAGGCTTTGGGTACAATGTATCAGAAATCTCCTTCATTACAGTCAATCTTGAAGCCTCTGGAGCCATAAACACTACCACATCAGCAGAAATTTCAGTTCTTGATGAAATATCTAAATTTTCAATAATGGGATTTGAAGATTTCTTCTTCTCAAATTCTGTTTGTGCAGCTTGGGTTAAGGTTTGGTTAGGCCATAAAAGTAGAATCTTGATTTTTGGGGCTTTTCTTTTGATGGGCATTTCTCCAAAAATGTCAAAAGCAAGTTGGGCTAATGCAGATGGGGAGTCATCAACAACTGGAATTTCGACACGTAATCTTGGTTGTTTGAGTTTCTTGATTTTCCCAATGAGTTTGGGATTGTTAAGGGGTTTCTCTAAAGTAGTTGAAAGAGAGAATTTTGCTTGAGAAATGGCATCTTCTTTGGTTATAGGTGGAGTAGGAGAAGATAGTGAACATTGAAGAGGTGAAAAATCTGACTTGGGTTTTGTGAAGAAAACAGAGTGATAAAGATGGTTAAGTTGTTGTTTTGATCCTAAAAAGCTTAAGGAACTTGTTGTGTTATGAAGTTTGTTCAGCTTGAACTGTAATGAAGGATGAAATTTTACAAGATTGGAAGCCATTTGAAGTCAATTCTTGTCAAAAGGAAAAGAGTTTTTGCTAAGAAAATAGGTACAATTATGGAAATATGTGTTCATCTGGATAAGGGCTGTAGAGAAGTTTCAGTAGCCTCACACAACTTGATATAGTAAAATTCTTGGTTAGTCATTACAGGTGTCAAAATTAACGCATGAAATCATAACTCGACAACTTATGCAAGTTTGGACTAATTATTGGCCCGTCCATTTTTACATTTGAATTTGAGGACTTTATAACTCTATTTGGATGGTAGTTACTACGAAAAAATAGGTAAAGGATAAAATAGAATTATTAAATAATAAGTGAAGATAAAATGAGAAGAAATATTGAAGTAACGACGTGATCACACCAAATCAGTCGTTACATAAAATGGATTTTTTCGTTATTACTTAACAACGAATTCAAACAATACAAAACAATATAACTTAAATACCAATAAAAATAAACATTCTATTTAAACTAACAATACAATACAATAAAAACCATCTAAACAAGGTACGTACTCTAAACCTAGTAGGATAGACGTATGTGAACAACATAATGTTTAACCCCCACGTAAACAAAATTTCAATTGTTTACCTTGTAGTGCATACTTCCAAGAAAATAAAACTGCAACATAAAATACACTAACTTGCAACCTGGAGATCAACTGTTTATACTTGAATTAATTTGTTTTTGTTTTTCACTCTTTGAAGATTTCCAACAAAATAATCCTTTCTCCAAAGAAAGGTACAAAAAAATAAAAGAGGTAAATTATCACACAAGTAACTCCCCATAAAAAAATGACAAGTATAGTAATACAAAGCCCCATATGCTATTACTGATACAAAGACAATACTTTATCCACTATACAAATTGGAGGTGGATGTTGTTAGAGGTAATATAGTTTCTCAGTTAAATATCAAACTGCCATACAGAATTACAGACAAACCAATTCTAAAAGCTAGAACCGAGAGTTCTGCTAAAAAGTTAGCCAATGCTTAGGCGAGAATCTATGGGACGCAAGCTAGTTTGACGTCTTGGGATCCCAATCTCACATGCATTAACCCGTGCTGCAAATCGGAGTGAACACAGGGATTCACCCACAGATGGAGGATCCGGTGAAACATTAACAAACATTAATGTCTTCGAGTTACCACCTAGACAGGGCTGAGTAAAACATGCAATGATCAGCAGGTGTGTGAAACAAAAAGTGTGAATATACACAACTGTTAAAATGACATTGGAAACATACAGATCAATCCTAAAAGTATACCTTTACCATCCTAGGAAATTAACCAGAACCATGTATTTTAACTAGGAGCTGAATAATCATTTTTACCTGGAGAAGGTATGTGAGCTTTGAGTTCCTAAAAGGCACATGCTCCTCTTTCTTTGCTAGAGCAAATATGACATCACTTAGAGACGATAGACTCTTGTTGATGGCCTGAATGAAACTCGTGGATAACAGGGAAATAAGTTAAAAGAACATCTTGGGAAGTAGGAAGTTCATGAAAAGAGATTGAAAGTTTCAAGCAAATACTTGAGTTTCTTTTAGCCGATCTCCAGTACACCCACTCTTGGATAGACGTTCACTTCCAGCGAGATCAATCAAATTGAGTACACCTTGTACTTGTTGCTCGGTACTCTAAAATAGGATACTATTAGTCAACTGAAAATACTTATAGAAGAGGCAATCAAAATGGCATGCTAAATGTTAGGTGAATGTCCCCAAACCTCATTCACACCAGAAATTCTCAGAGTGAAGACAAAATGGCTCCTTGAAGACTGTTGGTTCATCTGAGTCTTCCCAACAGATCTACACAAAGAAGAAATAGAACGATAACTCAAAAGAGCACAGGTCTCACAAATTTTAACTCCATTTCAATCCAAATATAAGAATACTTGGACATGACAAAAAGAAGTGTTTCAGCAGTAAATCAAACAGGAATAAAAAGACTATTTTATGCAAAAGGTGATGTTACACACCCTACATTTTCGTTGAGTTTTAAGTTCACATGCATGCTCTAAGTTAAAAAAAATAATGTGTTTTATATGTTGGGAAGGTGTTCAATGCTTAAACTTTATCCCAGGGGTATAGGGATGTAAAGGACTAAGTGGAGTTTGATTTTAATGTTAATGGAAAGATGTCCAAAGTGAGCATAGCCTAACTTCAAATGTACACAACTCTTAGAAATTAAGATCACCTATGGTTTCAGAAGGAAACTTGTAGCTCTTGGGATATAGTTTATAATGCTTAAAAGTTTCTTCAATGAGACGTCCGGCGCAAATTTATGTCAATTTTACCCGTGTGTGTACAATTGAAGAAGGTTTATGCCAAACGCTGGCATTTATTGCTGACCCACTGGGTTGATGCTAGCCATTGAAAATCAATGGCCACCATTAGAAGTTTAGAACCCTCCAGACTGTAAGCTAGGCATTAAGCATTTAATGCTAGGACGACTAGGAGAACTACTATCTTGCTACAGAGTATACTCTTCCTCATCTTTCATTATTCATCTTTTATGTCCTGGGGCGGTCCACGAACTCGGCTGGCTAAGGTCCTCACTTATCTCATCACATGAAGTTCTAAAAAGACCTTTCAACTCTTTTCTATTCCGCACCCAACTTCTTCAAATTTCAAGAAGCAATGCTTTTGGTACCTTGAGGTAACCTCTTCACTTAACTTGATATATTGATAATAGACTGTAAGTAAGTTGATTTTGATTGGTAACCCATCTAGTGGAGGTTTTAGCCATGGCTCACCTCAAAGTGGATGAATGAGAGGTTTTACCATTTAAGTTTGATGCACAGCACTAAAGCTTCACCAATTTAGTATCTAGATCAAATGTTATTTGGGGCATTGTGAAAATGTGAATCAACAAGCGGGTACATCAAGAATGATATGATGTACGAGTGTTAAGAAGTGATTTCAGGATCAAGGTGAGTGGAGACCTAACTTTAAGAAGTGATTTCCCTCAATTAATGCTTGTTTCACGTGTTTTAAATATCTTAAAGGTTGTTCGGTGAATTCACTTTTATGGGGACGAGCGGGTACGAGTGTTACCATGCTATAAATTTTATGACTACAATTCGATTCAAGTGATACTTATGATAATTTTTAAGGTTTTATAATTACGACTCGTGATATTTACATGAAAGAAAAGTGATATACGAATGATATTTATGACTATCATGCTCATGTTTAAGCCTGAGGATTGTATTGGTAATATGAATGACAAAAAACATATTTTGGGATGTCTTGTTTCCTTCCTTACTCTTTTTATATTTGAGCAGCGTCACAAAGACCTTATGACGTACTTTGACAATCTTAAAAGCTCCAAACTTGTCTAGAAGGCTTGTTTTGGCCCCTTGGCTTATATGCTACTCTTGTTGTGGTCTACATGTTGATTAGGACTAAATATTGATGTTGACTTCCTTATGAAATGAATTAGGCTCTCAGTGAAGGCAATATGATAGTGTCATTATGGGTACATTGTCAATGATAGATGTAGAGGTTAAGGATTCGTTCAGCAGGAGAAACTTTGTTGGATGCCAGTCTTGGCCCCCTAGTTTGGGTCGTGACAGATGACATAATAAATTGCTAGAAAGATTGAAGAAAATATAACCATGTGGTTTTACCTGCTTTCTGCTGCCAGCCCAAAAAGTTTAGAAACCTGACTATAGCAATGAACATCCACAATTGTCAGGTCAGATACATGGGTATTTCCATTCACATCATGTTTGATGGCATATTGCTTTCCTACATGTTCTGGTCGGGATGCATCAAAACTAGACGAATTTGATGTTGATAAAAGATCCCGAATAGTTTCATTGTAAATTTCAAGCATTGAGACCTGAAATATGGTGAAAACACTTTCAGAAAAAAGAAACAAATCAAATTGAGAGATGATCATTACAAACCTCCATTACTAACCTGCATTTTATAGTTCCACCCTTGGTTTTGGAGAGACTGCCTGGTCTCAAATACCTGCTCTAAAGAGCGTGGAATAAGCCCTTTCTGATTATCAGAGTCTGGCTTGCCCACCATTGTGTGAGTTTTACCGGAACCAGTCTGACCGTAAGCAAATATGCAAACCTGAAAGGGAAAAGGAGGGTAATAAGCTAACAATTTTTGTGAGGCTGCAGATAAACATTTTCTTTCTCATTCAGCAACGATTTGGAACTATTAAGATTTAATAGATGTTTATTTTTTACATGTAACACCAGTTAGCCAGAAACAAGGAGCACGTAACTAAGGATGATTCAGAGTATTGATTCTTTTGCAAGACTTAAGACATCATTTACGGTAGGGCACAAAATTTAAAGGTATCTCACCTTATAACCGTCAAGAGCACTCTGTACAAGTTGGGATATCTCAACAAAAACATCTTCTTGTGAAGCCTCAGGCATGAATACTTTGTCAAATGTGAATGATTGTTTTTGTCCTTAAAATAACACAAAGTTCGAAGTTCAATATCAAAATAAAAAACTAAAATAGAAAAGGAAAACACAAATTCTTGCTGGTTGAATACATTAGAAACAAGTGCACACCATTTTGGATCAAATCGATGCCTCTTCCTTGTGCTTCGGTTGAAGTTGGAAAAGAGATAACCTTTGTTTCTGCACTGACAGCGTCATCAGACAAAAATGGCCTCACCCTGCAGAAAACTCTAATGTTGCCTTTCAATTCCTGCATTGGCAGAAGATTCAGAGTGAACATCTAATTTGAATCCAAAAGTCAATTCAAGGTAGCTTCACATTAGTGATCATAAAGTACCAGAATAGTATTGTGCAATTTTTTACGCAGTTTCTCTCCTTCAACAATTTTAGTTTCGGCATCAGCAAGACAGTTCTGCAAGTCAAAAATAACATTCTTCTGCTCTTCATATTCTTCTTTTGTCCTCACAGCTGACATGTCGGACATCTAACAAAGTGATTAAACATTTGAAATATTTGAGAGGATTATCTTCTAAAAGCTCATGAGGTTAGATATAACACTGTAAATTCAAACAAAGAAGGGTCATAGAAATGCTGTGTCACCTCGAGTTTTTTCTCTGCAAAGGCAAGTTGTTGCTGCAATCTTTTTATTTGTTCACACTGAGACAAACATGTCTCCTGCGAAATAATTCAGGAAGAGATTATTATCTGATGCACA